AAAAATTACTACCTAGAATACCTTTTAAATTTTAAAGGTTAGAGGAAAAATAGTCAGATAAAAGCTTCAGGGTAAAAGCAAAACTGCATCAACAATTCTTTTTTTTAGTAGATGTTGATTTCGAGTTAAGATGATAATATTTTTTCTATCTCCTACAGATTTAAAGTAATTTAAGGTGGTAAGTTTTACTGACCCACCCTGTATAATGTCACTACCCTTAATATTTAGAACTATCTGTATTTCACATCAAGCTTTTAAGAAAGATAATATCTTTACAGTTTCCCTTTTATAATTTTATCGTTAAAATAATAATTTAGTTCTCATGATACAAAATACCATAATTTAATTAATTGATATATTTTGTCTTATCGATCAATAATTTCATTCATTTCTAGAATTGTCCTTTGAATTAAAAATTCTATACAAATGCATATAAAATAGCTTCCATTTTTACAAATATACAAATCAATGAATAAATATTGATTTTATAAATTGATACGATTATATTTAAGTGAATAAATCATAGTAAATGGTATTCAACGTTATCGAAATTTGCTTCAACATTATTCAATTGATATTCATCGTAACGTGGAAGCTTTATTGCCCGACGATGTATTCACTTTTCTATCCAGCTAAAAAAAAAAAAAAAGAAAAAAAAATGAAAAAACATCGGATCGTCTGTCGATTGCATTTTTTACGGTATTACGGAGATAGAAAATACCGAAAAATATCAGTTCCTATACTGCATAGAATCAGGATGCCCCCGTTTTGAACACTCGACCTCTATCCTGACGATTGGAATATATTGAAGGAGATAATCCGAAATGCATCAAACACCATGGTTGAGATCGACGCAATCAAAAGATAACGATATATAACTAGAGTCAAAAGCACCTACACATTTTATAAGTAGGTATGTATCTAATTTATTTAGTAATTCCTGCATGTTCATATGGATACGACTAATTTTCGAACAGTGGATACTTACTAGGTCATTAAAAATTAGGATCTTTAAAATACTTATAAAGATTATTTTTCTAAACTTACTTATATTCGATGATGTGAAATATTTATTTCCATATCAACTGAACATTATAAATCATAATATTATTTGAAATATTTAGTTGATTTTGCAATTATTTCACCAGCATGTGAATATAAGTTATTATATCTATATCTATCTTTATACATCTTTTCTTTCTAACATTAACTGTACCTGTTCTCTCTTAATCCGTGTTATTTTTTATGTCAAAAAGTTTTTCTCCCCATACATTTAAATAAATGTTATTATTTTCATTTATCTACATTTTAAAACAACTTTTTAATAAAATGTTCCTATGACACAACCCCTTTAATTCATACATTTTGCATGTATTTTAAATATTAAATGTACAAATTAATTTTGTGCCTCTTCTTTTTTTGACTGAAGATTTATTTTTAAAAAGTCATGGTTATTCCAATTAATAAAGTAACCGTTATTATTATCATATTAATTTGTCATTTTTCAAACATACAGAATCACGGGAAAATATTGAAATTTAAAATAGTAATTAAGAAAACGTAGTGTTAAAGACTTTGAGTGAATTCGTCTATATAATTAAAAGTTTTTTGACACTTTCCAAGGTGCTATAAATGCATAAACATCCACAATTTAATAAACTTTTTTCAATTCCTGATTCTGGAATTGGGCATTTACGAAATGCGCATCGTTTTCGAAGCTCACCGTGCGATTCCAAAGGAGAAAATTTTCTCGAAATCGTTCAGAAAGGGATAATGTAACGGACGTGTAATTTCGAAATTATCTGATGTTAGCTGCTTCCGAATACGTGGCCCCCGGCCACGTTCCAACGTTACGAAGCTATCGCTGCTGACGTCAGATTTTTAGCCGCTGCCTCGTGTAAGAAATCTTCGTACAGAGATATTGGGGAAACGAACATTTTTCCTCAACACAGGGAGAAAAGCTCAGTCACGTTCCACCTCGGAAATGCTCCCTTATTTGTTTGCTCCAACGTAATATTCACGGGTTTTGCGAGGATTTTGTTAGGATAATATCAAAAATCGGCTTATGATGCTCTTTGTCGCCAAGGTTGCACAATAAATATAGAAATTGTTGCAAAGATGCATTATAAAGTAAACCTTTAAAGATGAGCACACAGCTTACCGAATAGCACAGATACACCTATGCAGCGCAGAATGATTATAGATATTGAATGGTATAGATATTGAGTTTTTAAATAAATAAAAAACTGAGAATTAATTTTATTTAACAAAATATTTTGCCATTTCTTAGTAGAAAAAAATTGGAATAAAGAAAAATTTGTGAGTACTCTAAAAATTAAAGTTAATACAATCATCGATGACCTGTTAACAAACTAATAATTATAATTATTATTTATTGTAAAATCATTCATGAAACCTACACGGTTGTGATGAAAGTAACAGTAGTAATTTTGTATAAGGCTAAATAAGAAAAATATATAATCAATTAAAAATGTAGATATGTCAATGTATGTGTATATTTGTCACTCTTTATGCAAAGTGATGCAAATATATGTTAAAAATTCTATTGAAATATCTCATCTCAGTATTTATACACGAACAACAGACAATGTAAATGAAAATAATCTTATTTTGTATAAAACAATTTGCAAATGAATTTTCATTTTTATAGGCAAAAATCCCGATTCTATGATATAAAGTACACGTCCATAAGATACATGAAAAATACATGCGGCAAAAAATATGTATAAAAAAATATATGAATATTAAAAAATATTAAAATGCTGGAACGGTAGTCTCTTAAATCAAATAAAAACGAATAACATATTCTTTTTCACGCCTAAAATTATTTCACTTTCGGCTCCATTAAAATCTAAAAAAAAAGAATGATACAAGTGGAGTCCATTTGATTTTTTTTTCTTTTTTTTCCGAGAATGCTTTCAAGGACAACTCGATTTTAAAATGTTACCAAAGACCTGGAAATGTAAATTGAAAGCCATTCTCCGCGAACGCGTTTTGCATGAATATTTTGCATTACTATTTTCCAGTCGAACATTATATAACTCTGTTTGCAACGTAAATTATTCCAACTGTTCCAACGCGTGAAATTTTACCTCACCAGCTTGTTAATTTTTCTCGTGCGGCTTAAATTTATACTGGTTAACGCGTGTTTCTGTTGTTAAACGTCACTTCGAATTTCCTTGCAAATCGTGGGAACCTAATTAAAGTTCTCCGTGAAAATGACGGTAATTAAAAAGACACGAAAACACTGGCAGATGAAACATTTTCATAATATCGTAGCATGAAATGCGGAAATGTAAACAGTACATATTCTGAGATGATTAAATTATTATTTAATGTAAACGAATATGAGACGTGTATCAAAATTACTGAACTTAATTTTATAAATACTTTAATTAGTGTTGTATAACAACACCTAGGCATTCAAGTATGTATCAAAATTATTTGTAATTGACTATTTAAAATCATTTCCACTAAAATAGATGGCAGTAAATGATAATTAATTAATCATAAGTAATCATTAATTAATTAATCTAGGTACCCTACCTAAATTAATTATCATTTACTGTCATCTATTATTTAAATAAATAAAATTTAAATGAATTAAAATAAATTTAAATTTAAATAAATAAAATAAAATAAAATTATTTAAATAAATAATTTTCAAACATGTTAATGAAAACTCAATATATTAATTTAAGCATTACAGCTGTTATTCGGAAAGCATCACGTTTTCCTTATCCTCACAGTCATCAAACGTCCATAAATCTTAACAGTTTTATACCGCAGTAAAACTCCATTTCTTGCTCCAGTTGTTTTACAGAAAATTTCACAGCTAAATCCTGCTGATTCCAAAACCACCTCACGTAATTCGCTTCGAAGTCGCGAAGAAACGATTACACTTTGTTCCTTCAATTCCCAGTCAAATCGTGCGACTTCCACGAGAGAGACAGTCGAAAGCTAGTAGAAATTCCTGTAGAACCGGAGTGTCGGAGAAATAGACGTGCGACAGAAAATCCGGAAATCCGGCCCGCTATCGACGACTCGGAACATCACGTCTGTAATGTAACGCTCTCAAGCTGCGTTGGGACAGGGACAAATTTAAAGAGAACACGTTCCTGACTTCTTCAACGACGCAAAGAAATAGGGACACGCGTTAAAGTACATGACTGGTATTATCGCATTTCAAAGCTCTTTGCCAGTGAAAGAAGAAGGCGAAAAGTGAAGGAAGTGAAAAAGCTTAGTAGAACTGTGAAGAGTAAAAAATTTTAAAATAAAAGAATGCAGCTGAAGTGAGACGTAGTTGGCAGAAATTATAAATAAGAAGTGGCTAGAAGAAAATAGAATTTCATGCCAGAGGCCATGATCTCGGAATTCTGATTGTAAATGCACCACGTCTCTTTTGATATAATGCTCTCACGCCATGATAACGTACGACATTATCAGCTTTACGTCCAGTATTATTGTCTGTGGCTCTAGTATTTATGGGCTTGACTCTTGGCTGACGGGTAGATTCTTAAATGCAAAGATCCGCTATCAGAAAAGATATGTTTGCATCATGGTTTCACGCGGTGCGTTTCGGATGAAACTAACGAAGTTGGATCTTAACCCTTTTAGTACCCATGAGCCGATATATCGTCTTTGCGGGATTCGCCAAAAATTCCTTGAGCCGATATTTCGGCTTTCCGTTCTCAGTAGAATTTTATCACACCTAATGACACTTTATTTTTATAAAATACGTTTTTACATTAGAAAACATGTTTACTGAACACAAATATATATGTTATATACATATGTGAGTACATGGAAAGTCTTGTTATAGGATTCTTATGTCTTTATATTTTATTTTAAAAATGTATATGTTGTATTTCATAATATGAAAATGTTCCCAAAGAAAATAAATTTTGTTTCCATCATTAATTACAAACTTATACCTATGGAAAATAATTTTTTTCTATGTTTAACGGAAAACTACATAGATTTTCTAATAAAATAAAAAAAAGGTGGAGATTTATCGTTATTTTTAAGAAAGATATGATAACTTTAATAAATGTCTTCAAAACCGCATATTTATTCGTGTATTTCTGGCAGGACTGTGGAAAATCGCTGGGTACTAACAAGAGGGTTAAATCCGGTTTATATTGTTAGATTAACATATTAAATACCTTGCGGATCATGATACTACAAATTTAAACAAATAATTAGAGTAACTTGCATATTCGGCACATATTTCTAGCATATTTAACTGATTGGCTACTGTGGAAATATTTTTTAAAAAATCACAAAAATGATTTTTTAGTATTTTTCTAATCTTTTAAAATTATTTTGTAACGACTGTAGCAGTTAATATACTATAGGTTTGTAGCCTTCCAACACTTGCGCATAAGCATTTATATGGGAGAATTTGAATTGATATTAATTATATTACTCATATTTTTTAATTATATTCTAAATTTTATATTTCATAATTCAAAATCACAAAATTGTTTTCCAAATTACTTTTAATATTAATATCGGCAAAATTAAGATTTTGAGAATTGCTGCTTTTCCTATTTCGCTACATTTCCTAAGGAAGTCTACTTTACTCAATACAGGACATATTTTTCTTGATGGTACTGGAATTCTTGAATTTTGGTTTCGGTACGCATTTATGAAACGGCTGAGAATCACTGGTGTATCCTAATGTACTATTTTGTTTTCTATAAACTAACACATCGGGACATCATCATTTTCCATAGCACATTGTACGTAATTCGTTTATAAATTATTAGAGAATTACTCGTTTGTTTCTCTTTCTCTGCTATTATTTTGATCCCGTTTTTCACGACCGCTCATTAACTAACTCTCTATACCCCATCCTTCTTGTTTCTCGTACTCTCTGTTCCTCTTTCTGGGTTTTAACTGGTCCATGGTTTCACCACCGTTTTGTAACTTCGACGATGAGTGCACAGAGAGATAAACACGAAATTGTATGCGTCCGTCCAAAAGTTTCTCGACAAGTTTCTGCCTGGGGCGCGTCGAACCGGTGTCGACGTAACCCTTTATGTTGCCTTTACAACGGGCTACCGGACAAAGCTATGTACCCGGGCAAACGATTTTTGCACGCTGTCCTGAACATCTTTCACGGTAGTGCAAATGAAATCGGACTCAACGGGAGACAGAGTATTGTGTTTGTTCGCTATACGATGTAGGAAGAAGCGAATGAAGAGCAGTACGGGTGATGAACAGAAGTGAAGGTGTTGTTTCAAGGTACACGAGATAAATTACACTCTACTCTACTGTACACTCTACTGATTTATGGACGTAATTATTTTCATATATTAAATATTAAATTGCTCATTGCCAGAGTGAGAAAAGTCGAATAGTACGCAGCACACTATAAGAATTTAATCTTGCGATATTAATGTTTAATTTGATGTCTTATTAGGAATATATTAATACGGTTTATGATCTCCTTTCATTGCTACTGTAAAACTTATTGTATGGTTACTGACAGTTATTATTAAATTATTTATTTAATCTGTGAAGATCTATGGGTAGTCATAAATACACCTGTTGTAATTAAAAATTAATTTTAAAATAATTCAATTTTTGTTGCACTAATTATTAATGACTATCACAGCAGTCGACGAATGAGCAATTATTTAGAAATAGGGAATGTTAAAATCACTTAAAATTATTTTAATAAATTTAGAAAAAAAAACTTAAAAGCTGCAATTGATATGTGGACCATCACATTAGAAACCATCACAATTATCAATTAGCTTTTCCAAATTATTAAAAATTGTCCTACTGTTTTCATTTTTCAATTCTTGAAAAATTACCAGATTAAATATGTATTGTTATGCCAATCGTAAAGCTTCTAAAGTTTGTAAATTATGAATATAGGTACAGTACAAATAACTAATAAAAGAAATCAACACATATTATTATAACAAGTTGCATTAAATATTGTATAACTTATTTTGTTCATATTTAAATAAAAAATATCGAATGAATTTCACATACACATACTTTTTAATTGTTACAATATTTGATATGAATTTTGATGCTTTTCAATATCTGTCATATTTTCCTTGTTCAATACTGTGAAAAATTAAACATTGACCACGTTTACATTCTCAGTCATTTCATGAACCTTAATAAACGCTGCCTCCTCTCGTTCGTTCATTTCGCTCAAATAAATAACGAACAACAAAAGAGATGTTCCAATAAATATATTGATTTTATCATTGAATGAATCGTTAACAATAATGCGTCGATCGTATGCAAACGCACCCCGATATATAATTCGTTTATTTAACAAAATCAGAGTAATAACATCCTAATTAGAGTAATCAAATATAATTCGCTATGTGCACGATATTCGTTCATCGTAATAAAAGTTCAAGGAAGTGTTGAAAGTATTTAAAAAAAAAAAGTTATACGAAAACGTAATACCACAGGCTTCAAATAAAACTGGACGAAATTGAAATACACCGCGGTTGTCTAAGGGTTAATATACGTCGAATATGTAACTAAAAATTTTGGGCTCGAAACGAGTTTGCCAATCAAGTGGTGAAACGACGCGAGACAGAAAAGAAAAAAATAATTTCGATCAAAATGATTCATTCGAATCCCACGTTTCCGTTAGCGAATACACGCGATTGGTCGACGCGCGGAAATTGTGTCAAACAGAATCGATATCTCGATTTGGCTTTCCTGGATGTTGGTTTCGAGAGCTGCGTTTCTAATCGATGAACGAAGCAACAGCTTTTTGCTTCACGGAAATTGGTTCATTCTTTTTACGTTGAAACTTAGCATATATGATTAATTATAAAATCCTATTATCTATGATACAAATTTTATTTTATTTAATTTTTATGGTAAAAAATTAATTTCACATTTCGTGTTCTCAAATGATTTAGCAATACGGAAAATAAATAATTGAGAATAGCTGACCTATTTTCAATGTTCTTAAAAATAAAATGCACTATTAGTCAAAAATTTTTTGTTATCAATTTTTAAACGCTTAAATTATATTGTTACCGAGTTTAATTAATAATAATTAGCTCATTTCTGTATTTCATTTCAAAGAAGTACTTTTCCTTTGTCTTACAAGATATTAAACTTTATCTTTACAATAAATATTATTTGTCATCACGGACATGACAGGCCCTCTTGCAGAATACGGGCCTCAGTTATAATTAATTAGGGAATTCTGCCGAACTCCCAATAGCCAGTCCGCCTCTGTTTGTCATATACCCAACTGTCATTAGGCTTGTATGTGCAACTCAATTAATCTGTATGTACTTTGGAACTGTTCTCAGTATGGATATAATGCAACAATAAATTAGGTAGTTCCTAACTTTAGACCACTGCAAGCTGTTTATGTTTCTACAGTGACAATATACCAACTCCAGTCTTTACACTACAATATAACAAAAAATTGCAATCTTTCATATCCGAAGAAATAAGAAATGAATTTCAAAGAATTCCATTTAGGAAAAAGAGAAAAGCTGCATTGATATCAATAATTGTTCAATGAAACCTTATCAAAATTTGAATCCAAAGTAACCGAAAGAAATAACAATATTAAATCAATAATAAAATATCCATCCTCTCTGTTTGTTTCTTTTGTGCGAACTTTATGTTTTAATTATCAATGAGGAATTAAAATGTTGCAAACAAAGGAGGTACAGACAAATGGTTTGAAAATTAGATCTGAAAATTTAAATCTGTTTCCAACCAACACAAGAATAGCTACTATAAAGAGAATCCTCTTAGGAAACGTGTCCTAATTTGTCGGTGGTTTTTGTCCCGTCGTTCGTTCTGTTTCGTGGGTTCTTGGACTTGCCAATGGAAACGTAAACGAAAAAGGGAACACGACGAACTGCACGTTTCCGCTTTGACTCAGTTCCGCAAGCTTTGTGGATAGAAACAATGTTTCCACTGCGACGACTTGACCATGCATGCTTTAAAGCTCCATTCTTCAATCTTTTTGCGACTTCATTCGCTGCCTTTGCTAAGATATTATGTGTGCTTTTAGTTGAAGAAACGAAGATAATTAACGATAAGTAAAGAACTTGTTCTGAATTTAATCAGAGCGATTTAAGAAATAAACATACAGTGGGTCACAAAATTACCCTTCACTATTTTTTTTTTCACGATTTCAACAAATTGTAATTTTTTAAAACGACAAAAGCACCTATCTTAGTAAATTAATTTGTATAGCTTCTCGAGAAACTTCAAGTCATTCTGTTAATGACTATCACAGCAGTCGACGAATTAGCAATTATTTAGAAATAGGGAATGTTAAAATCACTTAAAATTATTTTAACGTTTGAAACGGTGAGCGAATAATTTTGTGACCTACTTTAAATATTTTGAAGCGAGCAATGTTTGCGAAGAGGATAAAATGTTCCAATTTACTTGTTCTGAATTTATGCAGAGCAATTTAAGAAATAAACATACAGTGGGTCACAAAAGTACCCTTCACTATTTTTTTTCACAATCTCAACAAATTGTAATTTTTTAAAACAATAAAAGCACATATCTTAGTAAATTAATTTGTATAGCTTCTCGAGAAACCTCAAGTCGCGATCGAAAATTTGACTCTTCGTCGATCAATCGTTTAGTACGTGACGGGAGCCCGTGCGGCTAGAGATAGAGTTGTCGATTGAATATCGTGTAAATTAGCTGCGCGGCACTCATAAATGACGGCAATTTGCAGCGACGGTGAACTCATTTTTTGAAGAAGTGCGTTTACCTTTACATAAAGCGATCATGTAAGTTTCAAGTTGTTTTGTATCATTTTAATAAATAACTAACATATTGTTTAAAATATTTAATAAATTATCTATTGCTTTGCCCGCGATTTTTCTTACAACGATACCCCCCACGAACTGTCTGATGTTACGCGGGAGAATGACACTCAAACCGTATCTTCCGCCACAATCGCTGCATGGTTTCATTACTGCCGTGAAATGATTGTAGATCATTTTTCAAACATGCAAGCGGAGAAACCGTAATTAGGAGGAATTTCGGAATCTGGTTCGCGGATCGTTGTATAGGTGCATTGCGTACTAATATCATACTTTTTTATTATTCCACTTACGTTATTTGTATCTTATTATTTTGATATTATTCAAGATCGATGAGGCAAAATTTGGAAAAAGGAAATACAATCGCGGAAGAATTGTAGAAGGATACTGGGTGTTAGGAATGGTAGATACTAGCAATAAGGATTGCCGAATGATTGTAGTTCCAAATCGAGAAGCCGCAACATTAATTAACATTATAAAGGAACACGTTGTTGCTGGCAGCGAAATTCATACGGATAGTTTTCGCAGCTACGCCGGACTTTCAGAAGCAGGATTTATTCATAAATCTGTTAATCACAGCATAGAATTTGTAGGTAGATAAATTTGATACTGTTTAAGTTAGTTAGGTTTATATTTTTTTAAAGAGAGAGAAAGAATTCAATTTTATTAATAATTTAAATACAGCTAGTGATGGGACTCATGCGCAGCAAATAGAGTCAAATTGGCGGCCGGCGAAGGACTGGATAAGGGGAAGGGGTCGTTTTCACGACGAGGAATTTGCTGATCGTTTATGCGAATATCTGAGTGACGGTTTTACCGTCACAACAAAATAGACCTCATGGAATCAATGATGGAAGCGATTCGGAAAAAATATGTTTTTAATTAAGGTAAGCGAAAGTTTATTAGTTAATTATTGAATTTTTCACATTCATACGTTCATTATTCTGTTAAAGATTTATTTCATTCTGTTAATTTCAATAGTTTATTTGAATTATATCCGATTTTAGCACACTAAACAGCTTACTTTTATTTTTCAAATTATAACGTATACCATCATACCGTTTCAAGTAGAGACCCGTACGGGACCCAGTGCATCTTTCCCGTCGTTTAAATTGTTCTGATCGTATAGGACGTTTAATCGCGTCGTACGCGATTAGGACTGGTGGCAGCGATACCTTTCTCATCGCCCGAAAATCAAGAAAAGAATAATCGATCAATTCACCTATCATCTAGATCTAGATTAACCAATGTTTTCTTTTCTTTTCTTTTCTTTTACGTAACACGGGCAATGTTTGCGAAGAGGATAAAATATTCAAATTTCTTGTAATTTTGTATTTATAACTGTTTTTGTGCTTTTCAGTGTTACTTTCAGAAATCGACTTTCATTTCAAAACAGTTCGTACACGAGAACGTTACAGTCGCATAAAGGCCCTCAATTGCATCCAGCAATCTTACAGGCGAAGGTTCGTACAAAAGGCGCCAAGCTACGCTTTATGCGTCCTCGAAACGCGACTATAAACGGCACTTTCCCTATTTCAACCAGATCCTATTTATCATTCTCGCTTGAATGCGATCGAAATTGCCATTCTGAGGCAGCGCCACGACGAAATCGTATTTCGTCGCTGAAAAACGTGTCGCGAAAACGTAGCTGATTCAGCTCGCGGAAATATTATTTCATGGGCTATCGCTGCTTACCAGGCCATTATTCCGTGGTTGTTTGTCGAACGATATCGTTCGATCAAGAAATTAAAAATTAAATGCCGTCGATTATTGGCGCGGTGAGAACAGTATGGATTGAAACTAATCCTCTAAACGTACATGAGCATCAGAAATTGCGATAAACGATTTAGCCATTAATTTTCCGAGTAGTAAGTAGAACAAAAATAATATTTACCTAATGGAGGAATCTGTACTTGACATTCCAAAATTATTATTTCGTTCATTTCATTTATTGCGATAATGAATTTATGACATTAACATGTTCCATGTTAGCACTGAATTGGAACTTCATCGATCATTAAGCACCTTTTTCGTTTAATAAAATAATATAACTTTGAATCATGCATGTTATCTGAATATTATGCTGTTTTACTAAATTATATGGCAGAGTTAGCTTTTATAAGTTTCAAAACATGAAAATCGTGTTCTTACACGTGAGAAGTGGAAAGCGTGTCATACAATTTTTAATATTAATATCGCCAAAATTGTAGGCGTTTAGTGGAGGGGGGGAGAGGGTTTGGTTTCTCCGGACGTCTTTAGTTCAGACCGGGGACCGTTAGGTGGCGGCGATATGATCGGTGACAGTGTTCTCGCAAGCGGTCGCCCAGCATGCAATTCGAATATGTATAGAAGTTCCGAATTGTGGTATGATAGGTGTCTGGGGCAAGGATCGTCTGTTGTCAGCCCCACTGACGAGTCTGACAGACGATCCCGAGACGAAACGCCTTTTTCTTCCCTCTCTTACAAAATTAAGATTTTCAGAATTTCTGCTTCTCCTGTAATGCCATTTCTCCTAGCGAAGCCTACTTTGCTTGATACTGTACCATACATATGTTAATGTTTGTAATTATACGCAATGAGTAGCTTTAATATTGAGAAGGTATACAATTTTCATTTTGTACTTTTACAATTCTATCTATGATTGAGAAAAAAAATATTCGACATTATGTTATATTTCACACGTGTTTGGAAAATTAATTTGTACTTTATAGTTTCATTTAATAATGATCTCAGAGATTAAAGTAGGAGTTTGTGCATTTCTGATATTAAAATATCTATTGTTAATCTTAAACATATTAATACCTATGAAATACCATATAGTTCTAAATGTCAGTAGATATAGGATAAAAATCAATTAAAAAGATAAATTATACTAATCATAACAGCATGAGCCAGATACAAGAAATGAAAAAATCAGTTCTGCCAAATGTAATATCCTTCAAATTTTCTATTCATTTTATTATTTTCAATCTATTCAACACAATACACGAGCTACAGGAAATGGAATAAAAAATATTTCAATACAATCTTATTATACTTTCAAACGATTCTAAATCATCATTCCAGCATCAAAAATTCCATCTATATTCAAAATATTCAACATCCATCGTGAAAACCACTAGAACAAAGTTATTCATATTCCTCTCGGTTGTTTATTTCGAATCGTCTCGTTTTAATCCTCAGCAGACCAGGAGTTTCTACACTGAAATCCTCTCAAACAACGGGAATAATTTTCCAAGTTGATTGTTTTTCTTCGCACGATGTTAATTATCGTTTCGCACGTATTCCGCCCACGCAATGTATACGATACTCGCGTAGGAATTTCGAATCGAGCGGCAAGCAAGATTCATTCGTGAAACTTAATGGATCAGTCGGTGACAATTGGATCACGAACGAAGGTTAGATGGATCACGGCGCCGGATGTCATCGACGACAAACTTAAACTTCCTCCTTACGACGTTGGAAACGAGGAGATTTGACGTAAGACGATCGCAAAGCTTTCTCACGAACACGAAACTACTTTATGCAAAGTCGAGCCGAATCGAGCGCGTTCCCTTCAACCCTGATGATATCCCATTAACGTTAAGATTTCACACCCTGTTCAGGAATTTTTTCCCCCTCGACAGAAAGACGTGATCGCCAAGTAGTCCGTAAACAAGTTTATAAGGATCTGGATATCTTATTTCTTTCGTCGCTTGATTTCTTATATCATTATAGGAGCATAAAATCCATCACAGGATTTTATTTAAAATGAAGTACAGTGTGGTATAAGTGAAATTAGGGGAGGTTTATCATTTTCTTGGTTTTGAATTTGTTTAAAATGCATCGCTGCATTTTACCATATTTGTCTCTTTCCAGGAAAACAGGATTTGCTTATGAATTTTTTCATCTCGAAAATCGTTTGTCGAATTAAGTTCATATATTTTCAGCTTAGAAAAATTGATTTGTTGTATTAATATTTCTGTTATTTGAAAAATGAATTTTATAATTCTGAAAATTATAACCAAATTCCTACTCTATAAATTTCTCATTGAAGGCTAGATTGCTTTTAAATGTAAAAGGATATGACTATATTTTTTAACATTGTAATATCAGTAGGTATTCATTATCTGTCTTATCCAAAAGTCAACGACCTTTGGTTTACTATGTCCACCTAAAAATATTATTATATTTAATCCCTTTAGAATCCCTTTATTGAATTCATTAATTCTTATCTCTTCAGGAATTTTTTTAACCTAAAGTCATAATAGATTATTAAATAGAAGATAGAAGAATTTCATTAGCAATTACTACTATTATTTTAGGAATATATTTTTCTTCCCTTCAATTTACCTATTGAATATTTCGAGGCCCCATTTTATTATAATGATAGAATCTTCGGTTCTATTTTCTCTCGACCTCAACTCTATTCACAAAATCATGCAGAAGATGCCAATAGCGAAATGACACAGCACGGAACGAATACGTAGCAGCATTTGTTAATTAACCGAGCCCCGACAGGCACGAATCTCGTCGTGAAACTACCGCGATAGAAATGCAGTCCCAAATCTAACCGCATTTCTCCCTTCATAATGCAACGCGACCATGCTATCCACTCCCAGAAGCATTTCAATAAATACGGTTAACCTGTTCCACAATCTGCACTCGAATCTTGCTCTCCATTCTGCTTACTTTAACCCATGTCTACCTCTATCAGTTTGCGGTTTTCACGCAACGTGGCACGATTTAAGGCTACATTTTGGGCCAACCTTCGAGGTAAACCTTGTACAGATGAAAATTAAGTCTACTACTTAAATAAATTACATGGAAGAAACAGCCATTTACAAAGCAGGATATAGAAAATAGCCAAAATTGGCTCTTTCGATTGGTCGAATTACACTGCTAGTGCAGAATTTCATTCTTCTATTTTATTTTTAATTTAACACTTTGAATAGGATTCTATCGCTCATACCATTAGTAATTCTTTCATTTATCTAGTTAGAAATACTCATATTAGATACCTGAAATTATGGATATTTGATATAATAAAATATCGTAAAAATAATAGATAAAATTTATGAAAAATAAAAATAATACTTCATGGAATTTCTAATAGTTTCAGCGTAGCGATCAACGTGTTAAAAATAAGTATGCATTGAATGCTGATAGTTCTAATGTTAAGGCTTGAAAATAAAAAAGAAATCTAAAGAATTTTCTCTAATCTGTTTATATCTAATAATATAAAGAGACATATCATTGAAATATATCACGAATAAATAAATCGTCGAATACTTCAAGGCTTTGTCGAATTAGAAACACGAAACACGTTAGAAAAAACGAGCCACGAGTTTCTAAATCTAAGTACATGTTCGGTAAATTTGCGGAAACGGAGTTCACGCCAGGCTGACCAAAATCGCAAATGCGAAAGAACGCGATAAAGTACGATCAGGCAATTTTTTTCCGCTGGCTATCTGCATGGCTGTGCGATACCACGACGACAGCCGACCTTTTTCGAGTTCCACGAAAAGTTTTGCGGCTCGATTTATACCAGCCATGGTCAGAAATGGATTCTGCAGTGGGTGCTGCCAATTTTGCACGAATCGATCGTGAATTTATTACGAACCGAATCGAGCCACGAAACGCGTGTTCGTTTTCTGCGATTTGTCAGGAATTAATTGATAAAGTTTTACTAATTCCCTAGGATTTCTTTTTAATTCCTAAAATGGTAATGACGACAGGAGTTGGATGAATGAATGGAAACATTTGTTATAAGAATTTGTTGCAATCAACAAAATTAGACGAAAAATAATAGAAACAGTTATTTTATGTATCTGTTCTATTATTTGTTAAAACAACATAATTTGGGCATTCTAGGACAACATTATTAAGTATAACCGTTTTTAAAATTCAATTTTTCAACTCGGTAATAATATTCACAATTTTATTTGAGAAGGAGAATACTTCGAGTAAATAAGAATTAATACACATAAGACAAATAATTAAATGATTAAATCTATCAATTATACTCAATTAATTATATTTCATTTTTCATGCAGTTAGTCAAGTCAAACTTTTATCGTAAATCTTCAACACCGTGAAAATCGAGATTAAAATACTATTTACCAAAGATAATGAAAAACTGGTGCTTCAACATAGGACGGAATTTCGCAAACAACTTTTGAATTGAACAGTTTACTGTTTGACGTTTACTAATTAATAGCGTGGTCGGTTATACGCGCTTGTGTTCACTAACTTCTCGATATAAAACTATTTGATACTTTAACTTTACACGCGAGCAGTTTTTGAACGTTGGATAAATCAGTTTGTTAAATATTTCAGCAAAAACTTTGGGCATGAAAGCCGGATTAACACAACCGCGATTTAGTTTAGATTTTAATTGTACATTTAATAATAGTGGTATACTGTTATCACCTTTCACGGGTATTTAAAAATTTGGAATATCTAACTAATAATAAATCACATCATCTAATACAATTATTAAGGAAACTAGAGGTGTGCGAGTACTCGTAATTTACAAGCCGAGCTGAACTCGAAATCGAATGAATTTGCCGAATTACTCGAAATCGACGAACTGTTTGAAAAAAAAGCGAGCTACTCGAAAAAATCGAACTACTCGAATATTCGGACTGAAAATTCATCTTCAAGTAAATCGAATATTCGAGTAGTTCGATTTTTTCGAGTAGCTCGCTTTTTTTTCAAACAGTTCGTCGATTTCGAGTAATTCGGCAAATTCAAGCGCTCAGCTCGGCTCGAACAATCGAAGCGAGTTCAGCTCGGCCTGTAAATTACGAGTACTCGCGCTAAAGGAAACCGCTGACTTATTCGTTTTTTAAGCTAACGTAAATAATTTTAATAAATGACGAGTTAACTCGCCATGCCCAGTTAAAAGATTAAAAATTACAGAGGTCGCTTTTAAAGTTCCATGACGAGTTAACTCGTCATCCCCAGTTAAAAGGTTGAAACGATGGATTACCCCATTTCTCTCGGGACATCGTTTATATTCATTCGATGCTCACAAAATTGCCCAATATTCATTCCTTGTCGGTTCTATAAAGTTTAACAGCTTCAAGAACTTTGACAACTTTTGAAGACTTCAGTACTTTCAACTTCTAAAGACTTCGGATTCTTATGGTTGTAAAAAGTATGAAATTTGTTCTAAGTGACATAAGATATCGTTAAGAGGATCAGTTTTTGCAATTAATTTATATGCAAATTCATCTGTTCCTAAACATTTTTTAACATTCACATTCAATTTTACTATGTTGACTGGCACGAAGTATAGACAAAAATTAACCATTGAATTGAAACATGAAGAAGAACTTGAGATTAACGCAATAACTCGAAATAGCAACCTGGAGCATTAAATATAAGACATAATTTGATGGCAAAAAAGCACCACTAAATAGCACACGTGACACATCAGTTTAAGGCTTATAGTTAGACAAAAACGACTACATAAACGTTTTATGAATATTCCTAATACAAAATGATTGGTCATTCCAAAGAACCGATTCATAGGGTAATATTGCCCATTAGTGAATGTTTAAATTCAATTTA